CCATCTGACAATTATGACGTGTCTTGGTCGAATTAATCAGGCAACAAAAAAGGAAAAAACATGGAAAAAATGCTCTTCAATTGAACGAAATGGTAAGGTGCGAGTCACTACCCAAGGGCCACGTCATGTTGGGCACCGACGTACGCACGTCGGGAAAGCTGCGTGGCAGCGTTGCTTATCCAACTGCCAATCGCACTCTTGAGTGACTGGCCCGTCTGGCAACCACCTGCCGAAGCCGCCGGGGCATCATGGTAAGTCCCTCACAATGCCCGCTATCTTCCCCTTGTTTAACGCATGACCAGCCTCGGCCCCACCAGGCTCATCCGCCTGCGGGCATAGTTGTTTGGCATCTTGAATGCAAACATTGAGCTGGCGAACCCTTGCGGCGGATTCTCGACGACTACCTGGTCTCCTTTTCACGCTGTCACCTGGGCTCGGTCTCATGCAGGAGATCGGCTGGAAACCAGAAATTAAGCCCAACGCGGTCAGAGATGTCTTCAAACAGCGCAGTGAGCAACTGCAAACACACACCCAGACGATCACAAACGTCTTTCCATGGAAGAATGCTGCAACATCACATCCTGCTTGTTGTCCTTGCGGCAGCTTCCAGACGATACTGCTTCAGAGACAGGTAACACGCAAATGGAAAAAATATGCTCAAAAGTCCCGGAACAATGGTGCAGTCCCTTTTCCAATCATCCTGCATTGGAGTTGAACTCTTGCAATTTGATAGTGAATGGAAGCCACTACCCTTTCGTGTACCTCACAGCTATAGTCCAAAGAGCCCGATCAAATTCTCTTTCCTGCCATTAAGAAGATCCATGCCAAAGACTGGAATGCATCACCCATGCCGGTCCACACCCAGCCCAAGTGACGCTGCACCTGCTGGTAGAAAGCATTTTGAGGCTCGTATTCCAGGGCCTCAGAGCATCCGATTCGAGGCACAGCAAAAAAACCCTGCTAGGAAGTCCCTGATTTCTGGTGGTCCAGATGCCCTAACTTCGGTCGCCCGGAAAACATGGGAACAGGTTGAGGTGACTCATGATGCCAGCTGGTTCTGGGCTGTTGGCCAGACTGGTTCCTAATCATGTTTTGTTTTTTGCACCCATTTCGCTGTAGTCTGAAAAGACTCTTCTTGATGCAGCGGTGGAACTGCATGATGCGCACTTTCCAACAGGTGAGCTGTCACACCATCATTGGCTTCTCTGCTGACAGAGGCATCTTAATGTTTCAGAAAATAACATTGCTGCTTTTTACGGCAAATGACTTCAAGAGTGCCACGACAGAATAGAAAACTGTGAACAAGCATTTGTTTACGGCTCCCATCGCTTGTAGAAGATGAAACATGAATAAAGAATTGTCAGAGAAAAGCAACGCAGAAAATGCAACACGCATCTGAAATTGTGGTACGCCTGTATATGTCCAAACATGCCTTTTACATACATCTTCAGCGTGCACTGATTACGCCTTTTTGGGAACCAAACTATGTGACAGCTGTCAGCTGAAGAACAAAGCTCGACAGCAAGATTTCGCAAGCTTAGTAACATATGGTGTCGCGTGTTTGCAGCATGCGCAGGTCGGAGAACTAAGCGCAGAAGCAAACCATCCTCATCCACCGCTCCAACATGGCGACTGCCAGAATGGAGCTGCCATAACCGTCGCCCTCACTACGCAGGAATTACTAAACAGGTCTACCTGACAGCCTACAGGTTGATGGTGTCCCACTTGCCGCTGTCACCCCCCGAACTGCCCTGAAGCTTGCGCATGCCTACATTGTCTAAATGACTAACGCGCGTCTGTCATTCTTATGCTGATGCCAGTGTCTGAATTTGGGGCGGGGCCGACATCAAGGCCTCCAGGGCCTCATGTTCACGACCCATGCCTGCAAAACCAAAACGGAGTAGCGCAAAGTTGCGTAGTGCAATGTGGTCAGTTTGCGGTCCTTGAAGGGCAACTGACCTGAACTGCATGGCGCATGAGCATTGGCTGCGCTACCAACTGACTGCCTCACACCAAGGTTTGGCCAAGAGCAGTGGCTGAGGGCTGTGCTGCCAGTAGTATCCTGAGCAGAACATGACGCTTCAAACTTCAGAGTAGCTGTAAGAATCTATGATGCTTCCTGTGTTGCCAGATAGCTTGATGGACATCCAGGTTTTGGGGGGGGGGTTGTAGAACAGAATGCCATGCCTTTCCTTCACTTACAAAACGCGGCTATCGGCAGGAAGAATACGGTATATAGGAGGCTCAGGAAATCCCAAAAAGAATCAATGCTCCAGCGTATGTTGGGCCGGCTTGAAATCCGTGCCATTCCTCCGGAACCTCGGGAAGGCGAGAGAAATCCTGCAAAGAGGCAAAGAAATACCAGCAGATGCTGAAACAAACATGCTTGGACCACTCCGATCCTGACCATTCAAAAGCCTAAGAATTTCTGCTGGATCTAGATTTACTTCTCGACTCCAACCACGTCAGCCCTCCATCACGCGATGCTAAACAAAAGGGCTCTTGAACCTTCAGGGGAAAAGTGGCTGCAAGCTGCAAAAAAGGGACCGTCAGCAGATGTGGGCTGTATACCGCTGAGCTCATCTGCCTCGCCACGCGGAAATTGTGCAACAAAATTCCAACAGCGATACCCAACAGTGATACCGGTAGTACCGTTGCAAGATTGCAGGCGCAGCACATGCTCAATGAAGAATCTCGGATCGCTGCATCGGACAGAGCTTCGACATACTGCTGCAGCTGTGCGTGCACCTAGCCGAGATGAAGATGGTGGAATCAGGAGAGACCACATCCGGGGTGAAGGCGCTTGCCCGTAGACATAGCAACCCGCACCTGAGAAAGGGCCTTCTACCAAAAGCATGATGATCCACTGAATTCCTTGTGGCTGAGAGCGACACAGGGTGCTTAAGGCCTCATCCGGCACGAGCACTTTGTCGCTGCCGCCCTGCATTGCTCCACCAACATGACCCGCACCAATGCTTTGTGCCGGGCGCAATCAAGCAATGAGCTGGGAAACTTGCTGGTCGCCAAACCGCTGCTGGCACCTGGGCTGCCAGCGTTTCACCCACAGGTCAGCTCATTGCGAGGCAGGCACGGGGACGGAAGAAGAGCTGCTTGCCCGGCTCGGAACAGCACCTCGCGAAGCCGGTGCTCAGGCACTGAAACCCTGATCTTGAGTCTTAGGCAGCCGCGGCAAGGGTCTGGCACCCTGCAGACATCGCGAGTATTTGAGAAACGAGATTTCAGCTGAATGTGGCTGTAAGTACCCAGCACTGGGCCAAGGCACAGCCTTTGATGCAGGGCAAGCCGAAGCCAACAGCTAGCGAAGTCTTCAGCACTCAAAAAAATGCGGGAAGGAAGACGAGTGATTCATGCAACCACAAAGCATGGGATCCTCGCAGCAACCACGCAAGGGTAGTGAGCACTACTACTCTACAACAGAAGGATGGGAGGTTCTATGCAACCATGACCATGATAAGAATGCTAGCGTAGCAGCGTAGCGCACACAGCTGTACTACACTACAGGATTGGGGAGCAATCTGCAAACGTGATGCGGCTCTAACTCAGCCTCACACCTACATGGTTTCGATTGATACCGATTTACATGAAATACGAGGGATTTGTCCAGCCAAGAGTACATGATCTTCTAGCACCAAGTCTGGCGCTCGGACATCAACTGCCGTCCTAACATCCGGGAGGAAACGCGTGTTGGGTGCATGGGATGCGTCGCGCGCATGCCTCATGCTTTGCAGAGACAGAGCTTCTAGGCAGGAATCGTTTCTTCCTACATTCCTGCCAGGATCAACTCACATCTGTGTAGTCAATCAGTTGAGAAGCCAGGATAGCGAATGCTTAACCTCTGGTAGAACCAAGGGGAAAGAATAAACTTGCTTAGGCTTGTCAGTCTGTTCAAGGCTGAGCCCAGTGCTCTGCCCAGAGCAGATCCAAACCTTCTGTACACAGCTCGAGCGCCTGGCGCACAGCAGCTTTGAGGCGTATTGCAGCATGATGCACCGATGCGACACGGTCAAGCTTCTTAAGCTGGCTGAGTCCTGGCGCAGACGCTCGCAGTCCGCTGCTGAACGAGCACATGCAAGCAAGTGCTCAGGGCTCCTCCTAGCAGCAAAGGACTCGAGAGCCAAGCAACATTCGGAGCGCCGAGCTATGAGGCTGGAACTCTAGATTTTCGGGAACCGATCCGTTGGAACTTGCACCACCTCAGGCTTTGCATGCCTTCTCGTTGGCACTGAACATGTGATGACACAAGCTTCTCGCCAGGTGCGACTTGAGGTTCAACAGGCCTCAGAACAACAGCCCCGAACAACCGTGACAGCTTCATCAGCAGGCAGGGAGCTGAAACAGATTGCAGCATGCGCACAAGCAGTCTAGTTTGCGACTCTGCCAGACATTGTATTCAATGGAAAGGCAGTATGTGCTCTGAATCAATCACAGCACACAACAGGTACAGTACCCCTGGTCGCTAAAATACATGGATACAGCAAGGTATCTTGATGCAAGGGTTGCACAGCCAGGATTTCGACGACATCCAACATATACTCAATGCCCAGCATGTGAACATCGAATCTCCTTATCGACACGGATAGCACGGATGTAAGAGTGCGTCATCAGGCCATGCCAGCGCTGCAGTATCGTCTGACTGCGGGCATAAAACAGGTACGTGCAAGGTTGACGCGTCTGCGCGTCTATGCGTGAGATATTTTGACCAGCCCAGGCAATCAAACTGCTCGGGCTGCTTGGGTCGTGGTAGATCGGACGGTCCTGGGCTGTCGCATGCAACCATCCAATCGCCTGTTGCTCCTGCGTGAGCGTTGGAGCGTCGGATGAACTGGCCGTCATGGCAAGGTTTTTGCCGGCATGATGGCAGCAGAAGAACTTCTATGGGCAGTCGAACTTGCAACAGTGGCAGGTTGTCAAGGAAAGCAGGTCCTTTGGACCAATTAAGGAAAATGCAGACTGAAACCATCCCCATAGCAAGCATTTCACTAGCACTGGGGAGTCGGATAGAGCTTCAGATTCTCAGGCCTGATCTTGGCTATCTGGGAGGCACCAAAGTTATCCTCAGCAGGGGGCATGACATTTTGTCTGCACAGGTCTTGCCAGGAAATGCCACTCAAAAGCACATGAGGTACGCTCCTAATCATAATGGGATAAAGATGTGACAAATGTGGCGGGTCAAACTGCTCCATGCCATTCCCATGCCAAAACCCTGTAACCATTAGCTACCTTTGCTCTTTTCTTCGTCTTCGTTTTGTGAGAGCGCTCCGCGCTAGAGCCTGATTAGGAGCTAGAGTGTGAGGACAGTCCACGCCAGCGCTTGATTTGCAGCAAAAATGTGAGGACTCTTCATGCCTGAGTTTGATTTTGAGCAACAGTGCGAGGGCACTCCACGCGAGACCCCAGCGTGGCAGTACTAGGAATAATGATATTAAGAGAAATATGAATAACAAAACATGAAAAGACTACCAGTAGCAAGTCCCTAGAATTATGATAAAGAAAAAACAGAATGAGCGCAATAATGATACGAATATCGAAGAAGATCATTGTAATGAAAGCATTAATAGCAGTAATGATAATATCGAATTTTACAATAGTGATGGTGATAGTAGTAGGTATAATAGTGACATGAATATGACAGTAACGCTGAAAATGCTAGTAATAATCATCACAGTAATCATCATAAAGGCCATAACTGTAATGATGATAGCAGTATTAAAAAAAAAAAAAAAAA